CTTGATACATCTAGAAGGATGTGCAACAGTGTCCAGTGCTTCTCGCAGGCGCGCGTTGGGGACCCCTCCGCGCCCGAACCCCCTACTTTCCGTGATGGTAGAACCCGGGCAGCCGCTGCGCACGCGCACAGCGCTGGGCCGGGGAGCCGCTGTCGGGGCGGTTGACAAGGCCCCGTGCAGTGTCTTTGTTGGACAACTTGGCCGAGTTTCTCCCTTACCTTCTGGGGCCGCGCCAGGTAGGTCTCCAACCTCGGTGCCACCAAGACAGTGCGGCCGGAAGGTAGGAGTCCTGAGAAACGTGAAAAAAGCGGTTTTCTCGGGGCTCCCCTTGCAGCGGGAGGGGCCTGTCCATCACCTCCCTCTCCTAGGTCTGTTCTTAGGATTGTGAGTTAGGGTAGCAATTCTTCCCGAGGGTCTGCTGTGAAACCACTGAATGGGAGAGGTTGTTGACAACAGTTCTTCGGGGTGGCCCGAGGCATGCACTTGGCTGCTCTGAGCTGGCAAAGACGCGACTCTCTTGAGAATGTGATGAAAATCAAAGACCCCTTCATTACCTTCTTATTGGAGCGAAAAATATAGTGATGCCTTTTGCGGTCCTTTGCAAAGCCCGAAACGTTGCTGTCATTACCATCATCGTCGCACGGTAAGAGCAGATTTGGATCGAAGCCCACTCCCACCACCTGCCACAGGTGTGATCTAGAAGTAGTTATTTAACGGTGCATACTTGCTTCAGCTGAGGTGGTCGTGGGGATCAGATGCCACAGGTTCTTGTTGTTGTTGTGTACTGTTGAGTTGTAACCCTATGAACAGCAGATCTGAACCCTGCCCTATCCTGTGCCGTCTTTGTCGTATCTGGCATACTTGAACCCACTGCTGCAGTCACTGCATCACTCTACCAGGTTGAGGGTCTTCCTCTCTTTCACTACCCCTCCACAGGTTCCCAATAAACTCTAAAGCCCTATAGAATTCTGGTGGCATATGTAGGGGGATGAACTGCTGTCCCAAAGGCAGCATCTCTGACAGTTCAAATCAGCTAGCTGCTGCATTGGAGAGTAATGGACAGTCCCCTCTGAAATGGTTTACAGCCTCAGAGAAAACACTAGAGAGTGGATTTGGGCTTGAGTGGTTATGTCTCAAGGTGAGATAGCTCTGAGGTGTGGTGACGTAGTCCCCAGGGAGCTGCGATGTTTGCTCAAAGGCTGTGTCTCACTAGCAGCTTGGATCCACCAGCGGATCTGAATGATAGCCAGTCGCCTCCCATGCAATTTACCCAGTGTACGGTCAGCAGTGAGGCAATTCCGACCCCACAGCAATGACGGAAAGCACCATAGCAACCTGTGAGTCGGGCACCGTGATTATCCTTGATCACAAACAAAGAAATCCAGGTCCAGAGAGTGTAGGTGCTGGGGTCCCAGTGGAGGTGAGCCACAGACAGATAATTGGAAGCCACAGGCCCTAGTTTCACATCCTTTATGCTGAGCCCTCCCTCCCAGGGAGTTTGACTAGAAAGAAGGCTGGTGGACCCTCAGGCCTGCACTTTGTTGTTGTTACCTTACCATGTGCCAGCTCTGACTCCAGGACACCCCCTGTATTCAGGGTAAAAATGTCCTGTAAGGTTTTCAAGGCTGTGACCTTTTGGAAGCAGATTGCCAGGCCCATCTTCTGAAGCACCTCTAAGTGTATTTGAATCACCATCCTTTTTGCTAATAGTCAGGGCTTTAGCCATTTTTACCACCCCAGGACTGACAGGACTGTGAGAGCTGATTCAGGCTGTTGTCTTTCCGATCACTTGCTATGCATCTGAGAGCTGAACTGTGAATAAGGATGATAGGAGAAGAATAATGCCTTTGAACTGTGATGTTGGAGAAAAACACAGAACATCCCATGGACAGCCAGAAGAAAAAGCAGATAGGTCTTTGGAGTGCTCTTTGAAGGCAAGAATGATGAAACTTTGCCTCACATACTTTGCGTGTTGCTAGAAGGGGCTATTCCTTGACAGGGATACGATGCTCGGAAAGGGTCAGCGAAGGAGAGGAAGACCCTTGGCTAGGTAGATAGACACAGTGACTGCCACAGTGGGCTCTAATATGTCAGGAAGTATGAAGTTGGCAAAGGATAGGACAGAGTTCAGATCTGCTGTTCCTATGGTTGTCATGGGTTGTATGTGACTTGACACCACCTAACAACAACAAGGACACACAGGTTCATACTGAACTCCCAGAACTTCAGGGTATCGGCCACTGTTGTTGACTGTTCACAGGTTATCAGATCTGACATAAAAGACTCTCGTTCTCATCTGCGATACATGAAAGACACTTCTTGCCTTAACGATTATGAATTAATGAAGTTGTGAATGATGTGCCTTAGTTAAACTCAAAGCAATAAAGCAACCTGGGTGATGTTTAGCAAGTAGAAATAAACATTGCTAAGCATAAAACCTGATCTGTGGTGCACACATGGTACACACAAGCTGGTTGTACCAGGGACGCTTGAGCAGGAAAAAAATGTGGGTTATATTCTCTCCTTCCAGTGTTTTACTATGCGGATCACAACAAACTGTGGCCAACTCTGAAAAGAATGGGAATCCTAGAATATTTGATTGTACTTTTGTGCAACTTTTACTCGGACCAAGAGGCATTTGTCAGAACAGAGCAAGAAAACACTATGTGGTTTAAAATTGGAAAGGGCGTATGCCAGGGATATGTCCTATCTCCATACCTTTTTCAGTCCATATGCAGGACAGATCATTTGGGAAGCTGGGCTTTATGAGGAGGAATGGGGCATCAAGATTAGAGGAAGACTCATCAACAACCTGCATTATGCAGATGACACAACCTTGCTTGCTGAAACTGAGGAGGACCTGAAGCGCTTGTGCCAGGAGATCAAGGGCTGCAGCCTTCAAAATGGATTGAACCTCAACATCAAGAAAACAAAGATTCTCTCCACCGGGCAAGTTGGCAGCATCATGATAGATGGTGAAGAAATTGAGATTGTTAACAGCTTTGGTGTGCTTGGCTCCACAATCAATGATCTTGGTACCAGCAGCCAGGAAATCAGAAGACGAATTGCATTGGGAAAGTCTGCTGTCAGGGACCTCTCCAGAGTACCAAAGAGCAACGATGTCAGTCTGGAGACTTAGGTGCACCTGATCCAGGCCATGGTCTTTGCTATTACATGCTATGGTTCAGAAAGCTGGACGATGACAAGGGATGATAGAAGGAGAATTGATGCCTTTGAGCTGTGGTGCTGGGGAAGAGTATTGAATATACCATGGACTGCTAGGAGAACAAACCCTAGAGAGGGTGAGACCTGGCTTCTTCTTGGAGGCAAGGATTCTGAAGCTTCATCAGACATAATTTTTGCATGCTTCAAGGAGGGACCAGTCCTTGGAGAAGGATGACATGCTTGGAAAGTTGGAGGGGCAGTGCAAGAAAGGAAAGAAGATCATCGATGAGGTGGATTGATTCAGTGACTGGGGTAATGAGGGTTAGTGTGTCAGGGACAATAAGGTTGGCTCAGGACAGAGCAGGGTTCAGAGCTGTTGTAGGTCGCTATGAGTTGCAGGAACTTGACAGCACATAACAATGTTTTAGGTGCTTGAAGTAGCAGGAGCTGCTCTTTATCTGATTTTTGTTTGTTTTGTCTTTGTAAGTAATACTTGAATATCTTGTCATTATACTAAAGGCCTTAAATATAGAAGTATTTTATGGTTAGGAAGCTCTGGTAACTTAGTGGTAAAGAATTGTGCTGCCTGCGCAAGGGTATGTGGTTCGAATCCACCAGCCCGTCTGCATGAGAAAGATGGGCAGTCTCCTTCCGTGTTATTTCCTGCCTCTCAAAGCCCGCTGGAGGGTCAGCTATGGGCTGGTTCTGACTCAGTACATAGCAACATTTTATAATGACAAGATATTCAGAACTCAGTGGCCCAGTGGGTAAGCACTACTAGATTGGCAGTTTGGACCCACCCAGTGGCTCCTGGTGGGGAAACTAGGAGATATGATCCCCTGGAGATCACTGGCTGGAAAACTGCCTGGAGATGTTGCACTATATCACACGGGGAGCTTTGAGTTAGAATTGGCTCAACAACACAACACGGTGTGAAGATACACACACACACACACACACACACACACACACTCTCTCTCAGATGAAAGGGAGGCATCCTGGTTGCCCAGAGCTCCAAACCGGAGCAGGCATCCACACAGGGCTGTGCCCATGAGGACAGGACCCACGGCCAGCTGGCACTGCAGGGCACGGGTGTGTTGAGCAGGTGGCTGCCCTAGGTCTCACACACTGGAACTGGGTATTTTGAGTATTTCTGCAGCCCCAAGAAAAAAGGGCCACCTCTGCGTGTTGGGCATCTGGCATTTGGTCTGTGTTCTTGGAGCTCCACAGTGTTAGATCGAGCTTAAGGAGGGAATGCTATCTCACAACAGGACTCCAGGCAGCCAAGTCAGGCACTGGACAGCGGCGTGGCTGTGTTGTTACCGACCATCGAGTCAGAACTGACCCATAGCCGACACGTTAGGGGTTTTCAGAGCCACTGAATCACATAGCAGGAAACTGCCATCTTTCTCCATGGAGCAGCTGGTGGATTCGAACTGAGTGCCTTTGGAATGGCAGCGCCGCTCCTTATCACTGGTCCACTAGAGCTCCCCAGACTGGACTATAGTGGTTAACAAACCACACCTCTCACATATGACCTCAATCTTTCCAAACCTCACCTGGCCAATGGGGATACTGATGGACATTACCTGCAGGGTTCTGAGATAATTCATTTAGAAATTACATGGAAAAGTACCCACCCAGCACATGGTGAGCATCGAACACGCAGGAGCTGTTAATAGAATTGGTAATAGTTTGTACACAGACAAAAACCCTGTGGTAGAATTCATGCTCCCCTGCTCCCCGATTTGAGGACATTGTGTAAAGTCACTGATTCAGTCCTTTTTGACTCTTTCTGGCCTTAGGAGAAGGGACTGTCCTCAGTCAGCCTGAAGATGCCTCTCTTTGGGAATACGTTTAGTCCGAAGAAGACGCCGCCTCGCAAGTCAGCTTCTCTCTCCAACCTTCATTCTGTGAGTGCAGGGATGTTTTCGGGGAGCAAATCCTTAGAAAGGGAGTGGAGGGGCATTTGGCTGACTATCCCGGCTGAGTGAGCATCATTCTGTGGTCAAAGTCACAGTCGAGGGAGCCCCCTGTGGCCAGATTGGTCATCAAGTAGAGGCCTGTCCACGTCCTGGGCTCTCAGTCCCCAGAGCTCTCTTACCCTCATGCCAAGGGCCAGAGTTGCAGATGTGCCTGGTGGTCCCTCTGGGGCATCTGCGTCATAATCACAGAGCAAAGGCAGCAGAATGAGGTCGGCTCCTCTCTCATGGTCTTTTTACACTTCCCCTGGGGAGGGAGAAGCCTCCACCATGTCTGTTTGGTGGTAGAGACATCTTGGAGGTCTCTCATAAGAGGGTGAGGTCCTTCATCTTACATGTAACCCCAGATGCCCCTCACACCCTCACTTTGCATCCTGCCCTTGCCTGCTGCACCTTGTGCTTCAGCCGTCCAGGTGTCACTCTCCCACCGTGTACACGTTCTGGCCTCTGCCTTGGTTGTTAATTCGAGACGTATTACACCTTGCTATGTGCCAGGCACTCTTGTGGGCACTGGGTATAGAGAAGTATGGGTTGACACAGTGACTGCAGCAGTGGGTGCTCATGTGTCGGGAGGGAGAATGAGGGGGCACAGGAGAGGGCAGGCTCAGGTCAGCAGTTTATAGGGTCACTGTGTGGGGTACCCGACAGCACCTAATGCCAACAACAGAGGCAGAGGTAGAGCTGTGTTCACAAAGCTGACACGTTCACTGACAGAGACAGAAGAGGTATATGATTAGGTATTATTGTCATGACAGGAGTCCAGAGTGAAGGCTGCACAATGGAGTGCACTTGGGGGGAAGGATTGCATAACAATGAAAGAATTTTGCTTTTACTTTTCAAAGAGAAGAGCAAATTGGTAGGGAAGAGTGGGCAGGAAGAAAAATGCAAGAATGAATGAATGAAAATCCAAAATCTCTCTAAATATATTCATTAAAATTATTTTTTTAAAGTGAAAAAATGCTATTTAAAAAAAGAAGAGGTATATGTTCAAATGTGTGTGTGTGTATCAACACGCCTCTGGAAACTATGAACTTCGATAAATGTCGATAGTTCAAGAAAGGCTTCAGGCCTTTTGTTCATACAGTTGCTATGAGTCGTGCTCAACTCAAAGGCAGTCGACGACAACAACAACAATATAATAGAAGTAGCTTCATCTTGGATGGTGGTGAAGATTAGGTGGAAAACCAGGGTGCAGGCCTAGGGTAGGGCACGCAGGGCCCTGAGAAAGGTGCTCTTATTCCAGGCCGGCTTTCACCTCTCGCTCTGAAGGACTCTCCCTCTGCTGAGATGTTCACCCATCTCCCTGGGAAGAGTGGTCCCAGTCGGCTCTGCTCCACCAACACCGAGTCCTGACTCGGAGGGCAGCTGGCGAGTTGTGTGAATGAATAAATAAGAAGTATTGTCCCATGTCAAAAAACTAGAGCCACTACTATCTTGAAGTTGAGCTTCGGGATTCTGTGCCCTTTCCCAGTACATGAAGCTTCATCTGAAGCAAGTGCTGATTTCGAGGCTAAATACATTCAGAAGGGTAACATTGAACTATCCGGTACCTGTAAGGGAATTCACTCCACAAAGCACAGGATGTCCTGTTCTTGAAGGAAATACCTGTTGCAGAAAGTCGTACAGTTCTTCCTTCACATTGTCTAAAAGCCCTTATTGTGCACTTTCTGCCTCCCTGACCTTTGAAGCAGTTATTGAATGTGCCAATTAATGATTCGGGGAAGAAACAAGTTGTAGGATCGTATAACTAGGGGAAGAGGAGCGGGGACAGAGCCCGAGTTCTGCCCCAGAGGCTGTCACGTTGTATCTCCCCACAGCTGGACCGGTCCACCCGGGAGGTCGAGCTGGGCCTTGACTACGGGACGCCCACCATGAACCTGGCCGGGCAGAACCTCAAGTTCGAGAACGGCCAGTGGATTGCAGGTGGGCTCCAGTTCCTGCCCTGTTGTCAGAGAGGGCTGTGGAATGAAATCCCTTCCTGAGTCCCAGCCCGGTCTTCCCGCAGACACGGGGATCAGTGCAGGCGTGGACCGGAGGGAGGCCCAGCGCCTGAGCAGGAGGAACCAGCAGCTGGAGGAAGAGAACAACCTCCTGCGGCTGAAAGTGGACATCCTGCTGGACATGGTGAGGCGTGGCTGGAGGGGTGTCTGGGCTCTGCCTCCGGCGGGCCCCGCCTTGAGTCCCTCCATGCCATGGTGTCTCGTGGGTGTCACTTAGCCCAGGCTCTGCACTCTGCATCCAGGTCCCTCCCCTGCAGGGCTCTCTGTCCAAGCAAGTGAACAGGAGGTTGCATTATGATGCCTTACAACAAGAGCAGTAGTTGGAGGCTGTGTGAGCTCTGGTGTAAGCCCATGAGAGAGAATTCTGGCAAGTCCAGGCCTTCCCAGAAGAAAGGATGATCCAAGCAGAATTTTAAGAGCTAAAAGGCAGGAATGGCAATTGGGGGGAAGGAAATGCTGGGGAGAGGAAGCAGCCCTCTGGAGACCTGGAGGTGTCCTGTACCAAGTCTGTTGCTAGCGAGGACCTTCAAAGGGCACGCTCTGCTTTCATGGGGGTTTCTTGAAGCCTTTAACAACCTAGTAACTTGTTGGGCCAGGAGGTGTGTGCTGGGGTCGAAGGAGAGGCAGGTGAGAACCTTTTAGTTCTGGAAGGTAAAGTGCCTGGAGCGCAGCCCGGCTTCTCCACTGGCTTGACTGTGATTCTAGGAAGCGGACTTCACTGCTGTGTGACTTTGTTTCCTCAGTAAGAAAATGAGCAGAATAGCGTCTGTTTTGTAGCACTGTCCCGTGAAGACTGAACGAGTTAGTACAAGGAAAGCAAGTCTGGCTCTTATTCCCAGTGAGCTGACTCCTGCTTTGTGGCTCCCCAGCCCTGGTCCTTCACATCCTCCCTTCTGAAGGCCACTGAAAGAGCCTCATGAGAAAGTAGCTCTTTCGACCTAAAAAAACCCACATTTTTCTTAACCACATGCTGGTGATTATGTGAGCTGCAGCCCAGAAGCAACTTAGACTTTAATGCTTAGGTTCTTGTGTTCCCTACATCTGCCCTTTTATCCTCTGATGCCCCTGGAATGCAAGAGCCTCAAGAGAGTAGGTAGAGACAGGTGTTGGAGGGATGGATAGAGAATGTGTCTAGTACCAGGGGGCAAGGTGCTTCCATATCACCCGGTCCCACGAAAGCATCCCCTCATGCTAAAGAAATGCCAGAGCCCTGCAAAGCTGATGCAGCTGGAACTCTCT